GGCTTAGAGTTTAGGGTTTAAGGATTAGGGTTTAGGGCTTAGGGCGTAGGTTTTCGCGTTGTAAGCCTGACATAACGTAAGGGGCCAAGGACCCCAACACAAGGTTCCAGATCCCCAAAACCATTCAGATTCTAGTATTTGGACCCTAGTCGCCAGTAGTTCAGTCCTTGGACCCTTAGGGCTACATAACAAGTGTGTGCACGGGCTTTTCAGGGATTAAATCCCAAAATCGGGCACCACAGGCGAGTTCGAAGATGATCTGCGCAATCCATTTGACTGAATCCCTTTGGCCTCTAGGGACTCTAGGGGCCCAAGTACCCAGGTAGAAAGGGATCTGGGCCTAAAAGGAGCCAAAATTGATGTAGACCCCAGAATACGATACGCAGTTCTCATTATAGGGACCTCCAAAGACGGATCCCTAATTTTGGGAAGCCCCAAGTATCTACTCCTGTTTAGGCACTCCGCACTATGTCAGGGTGATCCCGGCTTGCCTTACACACGCTCCCATGGGAATCGTGTAGCTTCAGTGGTTGCACCGAGAATGGTATGCTTCTTCGGTGACAACCACACCTGGAGGGAGAGTAGGTTCTTACACTATATTGGTGACAGTATTACCCCTATGCAGTGTACTACCCATCATATTTCCCAGGAAGCCCTCCGCGAAACCGCCAAGGCACAAGAAAAAAGTGAAGCACATTTACACACGAAATCCGGAACCCCAACACTAAACCCAACATCTCAAACATTGAGCCATATAGTTCCCAAACATGTAGCCCCATAGTTCCCAAACTTTAAGCCGTTTATAAGTCTAGTGGACCCCTCAGACCCCAGCTTCTTGTCGCCCTCGAAAACAGCATTGCCGTAGTCGATAAACCTGATCTCCGGCATTTAATCCCCGAAGATGAACCAACCCTAACCCCTAAATCCTAAAGGCCAACCCCTAAGGGTCCAAGTGCCGAACCCAAAATTTGTACTATAATTCCTAGTACCCAAAACCAAAAGTACCTAATTATTAGGTACATGGACCCTTCAGGAACTGCTTGAAAGCCTAAGCCCTTGGGTGAAAGGGGATGAGATGCACTTTGAAAAGGAGTCTCGAAGCCTCAGAGAAAAAAAAAACGCTCAGCTTTGCACAAGTTCTGGGTTGCTGTTAGGGAATTTAATTTAAGTCACCAATATGGGTTTATAAAATGATTAATAGGGTTTCCCCCTTATAGTAACTTAAATTAAGTACCTCAACAACCAAGTAATTGCAAATGCCAGCTCAGAAAAGGGTATGCAGGCTTTGGCTGACATGGGGTATGGGGGGATGGTCACGGAATCATAAGGGTTGCCCTTCAAGGTTATATAACGTAGTGGATTTCAAGCCTAAGCCCATAAAACCCTTACCTCCTAGGAACCTCAAGAAGTTCACGTCAAGACTCCCTATCACAAACAGAAGGAAGCTCAACAAGTTGAAGTCTAACGAGCTGGGCCTATAGCTAACTGGTTTAGGGTGTAGGGTTTAGGGACTCATCTTGGGAAACTCTCATGAGGTTTAGGATTTGGGGTTCTAGGTGGGTCAGGGTTATCAAGGTACCATCATTTGGGCATGTGAAGTCTTCATCGGGAGCGTTAGAGGATCCGCTCCCCTCTTTAAGCAGCAGCAAGACAAAGATAGTTCAGGGCTATGATTCTGAGAAGTTGTCCTTGTGCTGATTGTGCGGGAGTCAGAGAGGAAGGAAGGTCATAGTCGTGAAAGAACTGTCGGTCTGTACTGGCACCGGTATGCAGGCCCCAACTGCCCACACAGCAGCGGGTTTCGCAGCTTGGGTTCAGGCAACACGTCAACCCTAAACCCTAAACCCTATATACCCTTAACCCCAAAATCTAAACCCAAAAACATAAACCCAAAACAACCCTAAAGAGTTTTGGCTGCTGCAAGGCATTCTGGTGCCCAGGAACTTGACCAGCGGCTGCGTTAGGATCATGGTGGATCCTCCTCCTGCATAGGGTTTAGGGTTCAAGGATTAGGGTTTGGATTAGGGTTTAGGGATTAGGGTCTAAGGATTAGGGTTCAGGGATTAAGGTCTAGGGTTTAGGGATTAGGGCTAAGGACGTAGGGGTGGGGGCAGGTTTCAAAGGCTGTCTTGGGTTTGTAGTAGGTATGGCAGGCAAAGGAAAATGGCAGACTCTCAAAATATCTTGCATCTGCACAGATTCTGCCAATCCGAAACCTGAATGCCCAAAAGCTTGTATAGACAGCTCGAAAACTGAAACTGCTTGCAAACAGTAATGATGATAATGATAATAGTAGTGCCACAAATAATGATAGTAGTAATAATAACAATAACATTAAGAGTACTAATAGTACTAATAGTAGTAACAGTAGTATTAGTAATACTAGTAGACGCATCACCTGGCAAGTTGGCCATGTAGTGGTCAGTGGACGCCAAGCAGCAGTTCTTGTGCTTGATGTCCTTAGTTGACACTACGTGAAGGGATTGAATACTTAACTCCCCCTTGCTACTTTGTTGCTTTAAACACCCCAGCTACTCCTTACATTCATATTGCCCCAACGTATGTATATCGTTCTCTATAAATATATGAATACGTGCTATATTGGGAATCTGCATTCTTTGCAAGGTGGTTGGGTCCGCAATTTATAGCCTCCCTACACCGTAAAAGCCCAAACACGAAACCATTAACCTGCTACACCCAAAACCCCTGAGCCCCCACCCTAAACCCTAACCGTAAACCCTTAAGCCATACAACCCCATATCCAAGTTTCTGTGTGCGTGCAGCCTAAACCCTGCAGCACCTTCAACTGCTGCAGCAGCTGTGTGAGCATGACGCGCACCTAGGATGTTTAGGGTTTCAGGGTTTAAGGCCTCGGGTTCAGGTTTTGGGCACCTAGGATGAATTAACCTTAAGTGCCCAAGTACCTAAAAACCATAAGCTTACCCAAAAACTGTACAACAATTGCTAGTACCCAAAACCTAATTGCCCAATTATCAGGTACCTACAGTTAGGGTGTTTTAGCGCTTCTGGAATGACATGAATGAGTGTCAGACTCCACACCAGAGGGGTTTAGCGTTCAAGGTTTACGCACTGAAGTGAGCTAACAGGTTCAAAGATCAGAAGCTACGAAAAGGGAGAAGAGGAAAGTGCCAACACGTTGCAAGTTCCGTGTTCTTTTCTTTCCGTCCGTTGCAATATCTTGAGCTTCAAGAGGTCAATCCTAAGCTAAACCCTTAAACCCTCAAACAACAGTCAGCTGCAGTCTCAAGTCTCATATCAAGTGTTTCAGAGGAGGCCGCGTTGAAGGTGTGTAATGTGTAGACCTAGCAGAACCGGAGAAAGGTTTTGGGAACGTGATGCCAAGAAAACTCCCTTAAGGTTCGTATAGCACGAAACCATTAACAAAAGGATTTTGGTAACCTCAACCCACAAATCAGGTCCCTGTAGCTGCCACGTGACGAAGGGGTTTGACAAAATCCTCTAATAAACTATGCCGTGAGGGTCCACGTGCTCGACCGACCAGTATACCCAACTCCTATGCAGCCAATTCCCAGGTACATCCCTAGAACCCTTTCAGGTAGGTGGAACCTTAACTCGTAGGGTCTTGGGGCATCTCTTTCTCTGGGCATATTCTCCTGGGATCCAAAGAACCTAAGGTAGGTTCGATTCATAGGCCTTAGGGCCCGACGCAAGTATTATCTAGAGGATAGAGGGTCCAATGTATATCCTCAGGGATTAGATGATTACCGATTTAGGGTGTTTGGTTGTCGGAAAATCTGGAAGATGAGAATGACTCATGTGGGCAGCATATAACAACATAGTACATGTAGCCAAGACAAACATTTCTGGCCGGGGGAATGATGTCACTGAGTAATTGCTTCAGGCTCACCCAGGCACCATGGACAAGTGCATGCCGCGATTTCCATTCAGGCGAACAAGGTCGAAGAGCGACGCATCTAGCCACTCAAGGATCAAGCACCAATAGTCCTTCACACAACCCCATAAACCCTAAACCGTAACCCCCAAAGCTTAAACCCCAAATACTAACCCCTAAACCCTACACCCAAAGCGGATGCTTTGCATCAATGTGAGTAGTGTTTTTTGTTGGTTGAACCTAGTAAGAGCATATTCCTTATATACACAACTATACCTCAAAAGGAGGGTATAATCTTACTCTATGTTGGGTACCATAGCACCTGCCAAATAAAATACTGCTCATGTGGAGGAATGGCTTAGCATCTGAAATGATTGTGCGGGTCGGGACCCCCTTTTAGGAGTCTCTTAGCTCAAGGGCAATGATAGGGATCATCATAATAGTAATAACAGTAACAGTCACAGCACTAGTAACAGTACTAGCAATAGTACTAGTAACAGTATTAGTACTTGTACCAGTACTCGTAATAGTAGTATAATAGTAATAGTAATAGATATAATAGTAGTTGTATTCGTATTAGCAATGGCTCCCTACGTCTTTTCAGAGATCCCCCCCCAAAACAAAGTTTGCCCATGAGGTTTCTTTCCTTGAGTTCATGCCTTGATAGGGCATTTTGGGGCTCAAGGTTTGGGGGTTACGGTTTAGGATTTAGGGTTTAGGGTTTGCGGGTTACGGGGTTACGGTTTCGGGTTTAGGGCTTACAGACAGCAGCTAGTGACTGTTGCTACTTGATGGCTTCACAGGTAGTTATGATTATGGTTATGTGGTATACCGCTAGCTACAATCATCATCTAATGCACAGGACTGGCCGAAGCCAGTAATTAAGGAAGGTGCATTGCGTTATACTAGAATCCCTAGCTATGATTTAAAATACATTTTAAGTGGACTCACCCACCTTGTAGTTGTGTTTTAGTAGGAATATAAAAGACCCTAATATAATTTCCATTATGATTATAGTCACTATTACTGGGTGGGGGGGTCCACCTAAAGTATATTCCTTGCTTGAAGGGTTTTACAAAACCTGTGTTTGGAGGCCATGACCTCAACCAAAATGCAAGCCATGCACCTTGAAGTAGAGCTTTTGGATGAACTGGGGCGCCCATACCTAGCTGCTAAGTCCCCTTGCCCAAAAGCAGGTTCTGTCTAGGGTCTAGGGCCCAAAGACAAGTCAACAAATAAGTATAAAACAAACATGTAGATCTCACTATGGGAAAGGTTACCTACCCAGCTATTGACCAGATATCCCCAGGGTCGCCAGGGCACCGCCATTTCCGCGAAGGCCTACGCGCCAAAACTGCAATCGCACTAGACCTATCATGAAAACATGTGCTTAATCGTTCTGGAAGTTTATACTATAACAAAGAGTTCCAACAAAACAGAAGGGGACGGGAGAAAAAAACTCTATACCCTGTACCCTAAACGCTAAATCCTAAACCCTAGACCCTAGCCCTTGTGAACCCGGTCCCGGCCCGCGTCATCCTTGGTTGCGAAGGAATCCAGACATCCTCGCTTCCCCAAAGGGTCCATGTAGGTATATGGTATATACTTGTTTAGGGTTTCGGGGTTAGGGTCTAGGGTTTAGGGTTCAGGGCTTAGGGGTCAGGGTTTAGGGTTCAGGGTTTAGCTTCATGGTTTTAGGGTTCAGGGTTCAGGGTTAAGGGTTTAGGCTCTTAGGTTTTGGGGTCTGGGCTTCAGGGTCTGGACTCAAGGACTTCCCAGCTTATACTGAATTGCCATGAGGAACCCCATGTCCGTCCGATTTCCCACCTGCAAAAGGATAGCAGCCTTTCTAGGGGCCTTAGCCTAAATTTGGGCGCAAAGTATCTTGCAGATATGCACCATTCTGGCGCAAATAACATCCTGTACGTCATGACTGCCTAGACCCGTGAGGCTTGACCATAAATCCAAAAAAAGGCATTCCATGATGGCTTGGGGCAAGCAGAGGGTTCGTTTTCGCGGGTAAAACGGAGCCCTCGACCTTGACCCGGGCATTTTTCTTTTGGAGCAGGGATCTACACCCCAAACCCTAAATCCTAAACCCTGAGCCCTAAACCCTAAGCCCTGAACCCTAAAGCCTACTTAGAGTCTGATTGTAGGAGCCCACAGGCTCCCATGTAGTCCTGTTTGGATGGTATCCTCTAAGCCCTAAACCCTAAATCCTAAACCCTGAATCGTATAATTGGAGACCCTCAGTCGTGAGAATATGAGCTGTAGTCTGAAATCCTTATAGGGGATGATAGAGGTGTATTTCCTAGGGCTTCTTGAGGGGGATGCTAGGAGTTTAGCCTATAGCACGAAGTTGGACTGCTGATCGGGCGTCGCATCGTCAGCACATCAGATCCAACATCCATTTGCGCTCTCTCCAACCTTCGAGCACGCGGTAACAGTCCCTTTGACTGGGTCATAGGCGCTATATGGTCGTTTCCATTGACTAGAAGGATCTAGTCCGACATTACTTGCGACGAATTAGGGGGCAAAAGCTGGCTGCAAAAATCACTGGCTCGGGGTTTGAGGTTTAGGGTTTAGGGTTGGTAATGTAATCAGGCCTCTTGCAACAAATCAGTAAAATTGACCAACAAAAACCTCGTGAGGAAGCCAGTCGCCAATCCGGCAAAACTGCACGTTGCCCCCAAACTCTGCAGTAGGGTTTAGGGTTTAGGGGGCCGCCACACATCTACTCCCATGTTCTCTTTCAATAGGATTCTGATGTGTACTACAACACCTCACTTAGCCAGGGTTGTGGGGCGTATTGCCTTCCATTCCGTTTTCTTCCATATATTCTCATACAGGTTTTTGAAGCCTGCAATACCTCAGAGGGCTCAAAAGGTGGGGTAAAGGAAGGTGGGGTATGGGAAATAAGCCCCAGTATAATAGAGTATGTACTCGGGATCCTTTAACCCACCTACCTTCATCCCACCTTTTGAGCCCCTGAAATACCTAAACCCGTAAACACAAATCGCTAGCCTACTGTCTCGCAAGTAAAGCGAACGTTCAGAACTCTCAGGGTTTAGGGTGTAGGGTTTTCAGGGGTAGGTTTCGAAATATTGCTTAATCTTTACTACCCGTAATCCCTATATAATATAATCATTGTAAAGGCCATAACAATTTCATTTTCAACCCCAAACTGCTTCTCAAGTTTAGGGGTGAATCCCATTGTGTGGAGAGACCGGTTTGCTTCGCGTGGAGGGCTGAGCCTCCCGTTGTATCATGCTCAGGGTTTAGGGTTTAAGGTTACAGGGTTTAGCGTTTTAGGGTATTGGCTTTCGGGTCGTAAGGTGTTGGGTTTCGGGGTTTAGGGTATTTGGGTTTTACGGCTTGGGGTTTTAAGGTTTTAGGGTTTTGGGGTTTAGGGCTGATGGCCCCTGATTCTCCTCGACGTACAATGATTCAAAAAATTGGCTACACAGGGCTTCCAAAATGACTCAGACCAAGGGCTATACTTTCCAGCACAAGCACGGTTTAGGGTTTAGGGCCTTAGAAAAAAGCGTCCTGAACCCTCAACCGTGTAACCCCTAAAACCTAAACCCCCTGCGCTTATCCACAAACTTAAGCCCTAAACCGTGGTAACCCCTAAACCCTACAGCCTCAGCCATAAACCCTAAGCCCCAAGCCCTAAACCCCCTAAAACGCGTAACTGCCTGTGAACATCAGGTGCTACATCCCAAAACCTAAAACCCTGAACCCTGAACCCTAAACCCTAAACCCTGAACCCCTGAACCCTAGACTAAACCCTAAACCCCTGTGAACAGCAGTGGCCTTTGCAGCAAGTCGCCCTCACCGGGTCCACTGGAGGTGTATTGAATGTAGGCGTCCTCCTTCCGCATCCTGGGTTTAGTAGGGTCTGAGGGTTTAGGGTTCAGGGTTTAGGGTATATGGTTCTAGCTATCTGGATAAGG